AGAAACTTCAATGTAAATGTTACATCTTGAACAAATGGGCGAAGACACTAAGTTCTTATAATGCCTTAAGTAATTTGTGGGAAAGACATCACAACAAACAAGTCAAAATAGGAATTTAATCTTTTTTGCACAAGGAAAGCGTCAAATACACCTTCAACTAATATACTGGTATAGAGTTCTCCTGCTAATGAGTCAGTTAAAATCATATTTAGCTGTATAACTTCCCTCTAAACTATTTGACCAAATAAACATGTCCTCTACGTGATTACTTATTGACAAGTTAGATTGATAAATGATTGAAGTAATTGATGTTGGTACCCATGTGACAGTTTAAGAAAAATTTCATCCCTATTGGGTCCAAATTAGAGATGAAAATAAGTCAGGCTAAGCCCAACTTTACTTTAAACAAGTCTATCCTGTAACATAATTATTAGGCCTGAGCTTGGCCTGTTATCTGTTATAAAGGCTTTATTTTCAGTCTGGCCAGGCCTATAGCTCATTAACAAAGCCTGCTAACAAAAAAATCTTAATATTAATGAAAGTATAAATATTTTATTATAAATTAGTTTACATATTTTTCTACTTTTCATCTGTGTTATTGATAATTATTAAACAATTATAATAATTTTTATATAATTTTATAAATAATTTTTAAAATATTATTTTAGCACCAATTATAAATGTTTCATATTAAATAAATTTTTATTTTTATTTTTCTTGATTTATTTTTAAAAATTATTAAAATATCAAAGATTTTAGTTTTTTTAGGATCATATTTTGTTTGTTTAAAGACATCTTATATTTAATAAATAAAGTCATAGTAAACACATAAAATTGATCACAAAAAATAACATTTACACAATTTGTTGAATCAGCTGAAAAAAATTATTATATTTTAAAAAAAATTAAATTCAATGCAATATATATATATATATAATGAAAATAATAATAATAATTAAATTAAAAGAAAAATAAAATAAATACAACATATTTAATTTTATTTATTTTATTAATTTGTTATTTTAAATTAACAAATATACGTAAAATTAACTACACTAACATTAATGTAATACATAAAAATATTACTAAAATAATAAATTAAAACATACAATTATATATAAAATATAAATTGATAAATTATCTAATAATTTAATTTTTTATTTATGTAAATATTTACAAATTATTAAATCTCAAATGTATGTTAACAATTATAATAAAAGTATTATAGATTTTAATTATTTTTTATGATATTTATATTTTATTTGGGTAAAAATATCTAATATTCAATAAATAAAATCATAGTAAACACATAAAATTGATAACAAAAAATAACACTCACAAAATTTGTTGAATGAATTAAAAGAAAATTATTATATTTAAATAAATAAATAAATAAATAGTCATTATAAAAATTATATATAAAAAATATTTATATTATAAAATTCAAAGATGTAAAAAAAATAACATATAGTAATAATTAATAAAATTTATATTTACATTAAAATAACTTATATTTCTAAACTTTTATCTTACTCAAAAAATATGTAATAAAACTTAATATAAAAATTTAAACTCAATGCACTATATTTTATTAACATATATATATATATATATATATATATATAATATGACAATAATTATTATTATTATTAAATTAAAAAAATAATTACAAAATATTTTATTTTATTTATTTTTTATTTTAAATTAATAAATATACATCAAATTAACTACACTATAACATTAATATAATATAGAAAATATTATTGATATAATAAATTAAAAAATATATATATTATATATAAATTGATAAATTAATTAATAATTTATTTTTTTATTTATTTTTTTATATAAATATTTAATAATTATTGAATTTTGAATGTATATTAACAACTATATTTTTTAAGAAAAATATATTTATATTTATATAAAATTTATAAAAAATAATTATTTAAAATTTGACATATTCATATTTAGGTGTGTTATTGTGTACTGTGGATCTGATATCTAAAAAAAATTTTATAAGTACTTTACTCAAAAAATTTATACCAATAAAAAGAAAATACGTGTTAAGTTACAAAAAGTATATATTATTATATATAATTTATTTAAAATTATACTATTTACTATATGGTCCTATATATATATATTAATATAATAATTAAATATTATAAAGAAAAAGTATTAATATAATAATTAAATATTAATAATAATAAAATTAAAAATATAAAAATATACTAATATCATATTATTATTTTATTTCGTTTAGTTTTGATTGCGTCTTGTTTCTGTTCAAAGATTTAATCATTCTTTAACTTATTTAAATGTAACAAATATAATAATTTATTATTAAAAAAATTATTATTTTAAAACTGTAATTATGTGTAAATATTTTTAATTTTTAATAGAATATAATTTTTATTTATTATAATTATAAATAAAAAGAATTATAACATAATATATTATTGTAATATAACAGAAATAAAAATATATTATTAAATAATTTTATTATTTAAACATTTTTGACAGCTCTATTTTTAAATTATATATATATATATATAAATCGGCTTGTCAGGTTTAACAGGCTTTGTAAATAACTCAGACCTAACTTGTTTACTTAAATAGACCTTAAAAAAAGCCTAAGCTTTATTTCTTTATTAAAAAGGTCAGGCCTAAACCAAGCTAAGTCAGCTTGGTCTGTTTACATCCCTAGTCTAAATGTCCTTAACCCACAACTTTATATCTTGAATGTCGACATAGGAAGTGTGTTAACATAATTTGCTCAGTCTCAACTAGTCATAATACCAAAAGAAAACATGTCTATTACCAAGTCAAAAAGTGAACTCATCCCTCATAGTATTTTTAGACTTTTTGATTGCTTGCCAAGAGTGAAACCCTCCATCTTTATTATGATCTAACAAATTATCTTTCTTCTTATATCTTTCTACAAACAGATGGATCCAGAGTTTGTCTTTTTTGTTTATCATATCTCAAACTCATTTACCTAATAAAGTCACATTATATTCCCAGTTCACCAGGTTAATTCTCTTTCCGTCATTATTCATTCAAAAAAAATTATGCACATACTTATCAATTGAGTGACAAATAAATTGAGACAACCAATACAGTTGTAAGCAATATGTTGGGATCGTTGTAATAACTAATTTAGCTAGAATTAAACGCTTCTATATTAAGGAAATTAGATTTCCCATTAGCAAGCCTATGTTGAATTTTCTCCACAATGAAGTCATAATGTCTTCTTTTCACTGTGCCTAAGATCATTTGAAAACCCAAATACTTATCAAGGGGGGAAGGAAAACGATTACATGAGATAGAGGTGAACTTAACTTGTTTCCAACCATTAATGCCAACCAAAATATATGCCCAAGATTTTATCAAGTTAACCTTTAGACCAGATACAACACTAAACCAGTTGAGAATTTCCTTTGTGATTCTAATTTGAGAACTTTTAGCTTTGACAAATAAAAGCACATCATCAGTAAAAAGTAGATGATATATAGTTAGGCCATTTTTGCTAACCTTAACTGGTTGCCACTTATTATTTTTCATTGAAACTTCTATAGTGAAAGCTAACATTTCCATACACAAAAGGAAGAGATATGGAGAGAGTGAATCACCTTAGCAAAGGCCATAATTTGGAGAAAGTGAAGAAAACTTATTCTCATTCCATAAAATGCTCATTGATGGAGTAGTAACATAGTGCATAATAAGAGTAACTATTTTATTTAGAAACCTAAAATTTAGGATAGTATGCCTTAAAAACTCCCAATTAATGTGATCATAAGTCTTTTCTAGGTCTAATTTAAAAGCAACATCTCCTTTTTTTTTCTTGAACATGTGCATCATATAAACGATTTCTTGCAAAATAATTGTGTTGTTTGTAGTACCTTAACCTCGGAAGAAACTACTCTAGAGAGGTCCAATAAAATTCTAAAGAATAGATCTCAACCTCTTAACAAGTACTTTATTATGACTTTGTAAAGGATATTGTAAAGACTAATAGGCCAAATTTCCTTGAAATTTCTAGGACGATCCACTTTGAGATGAGAGAGATAAAAATCTCTGAGAACTTATTATCTTAAGTGTCTTTCTCAAATGCATCACTAACTAGTTTGCTTAGATAACTACTCACTTCATGTCAGTATTATTTGTAGAAAATTATTTGGAACCCATCAAGCCCATGAGCCTTGTAAGGATGCATGACATGGAAAGCTAAAAAGACCTCTTCTTTTGTTATATGTTGCTCTAAATTGAAAGAATCTTCAGGTATAAAAGTTATAATATTATGTAGATGGAACAATACATATATGACATGAAATTGATGGCAAAAAAGATTCACAAAAAACTTATGACCTTCTTCATGTATAAAATAAAATCATCATAACACCATATGTCATTAAGAAGAGTGAGATCATAAATTTTATTTCTTTTCCTTCGTATCATAATTTGGACATGAAAAAGTAATATGTTATGTTTTCAAACTCAATCTAATTCTTTCTAAACTTTTGGTATTACAGAAGTTTCTCTTAAAAAAGAATTTTATTATACTTAGATTGTATCTATCTATCTACCTTTTAAGATAAATAAAATAAGTTAAGTTAGCTATCTCTTGCCTTTTTGTTTAGCAAATGTCTGATTATTAAAATTGATAAAATATTTTTTTGAGCTTACGAAGTAATAAAACAGGATCCCCTTACCTTCTCACGAGGCCTTATAAATAATTGAATCATTGTAAACTGTCTAGACTGTTTAAAAGAAAAAAAAAAAATCGAGATCCAAGCACTTAGGGAAGGCCCATTCCTTAACAAGAAGATAAATTTTGTTTGTACATTGTAAGTGCTAGAGCTAACAAAAGAGACAACACATTCCATTCAGATTAGCGGTGACAAATTTTAACTTACTAAAGAAATAAATAAATAAATCTGATTTGAACTTCCAATATAATACCAAATAAATAAAGCTTAACATTTTATGAATTTTTGCAGACATGTTTTTTATCGGAAAAGTTTAACACTGGACCGATTTAACAAGTCCATATTAACTGCTGGAATCACATGCTCAGGACACAACCCGAACTGAATCGAGTTTTAATTTTTGTAGCCGAACAAACCCATTTATCGGAACCAAATTGCTAAGTTTGTAATGAATTGAGTGAATTTGATTGGATTATAGGAGTTTGTCCTTATAGAGAACACCTCTAATTTAGCGTTTTGTAGTGTCTATGTTGGTTGTTTTATTCCCCACTGGGAAGTGGTTTATTTTGAATAGGATAGACAGAAAAACAGTAATTTGATATGAATGGGATGGAAACCGGAAAGGGAACCCTCAAAGCTGTGGCTCTCATCGTTGGAGATAACAACATTAGAGGTTCTCTTCACTTTGTTCACCACCCCAATGGTCTCTCTCTCTCTCTCTCTCTCTCTCTCTTCATATTTCTTCTGACCAATGCTTATTATCGCTTATTAGTTTCGGTGTGATTGTGTAGGGACCACCCATGTAACAGGAAAAATAGCAGGCTTGTCCCCAGGCCTTCATGCCTTCCATATTCATGCTTTTGGGGACACCACCAATGGATGCAACTCCACTGGTTCCTTTTCTTAATTACTTTTTTCATCAATTTGTATCTTTTCTAGGAAAATATAAAAAGGAATAGTTTAATTTGTAAAAAGAATTAGACTTTTGAGCAGTTATATACAGCCAAGAATAATGGAAAGCCTCAATTTATTTTTGGACTAGTTTTATATGCTTAATAGTATAGAACTTGTGGGAAAATGTAATTTTATTTTATATCAATTAATCTAAGCTGAACATGTAGCTGGTTTAATTAATTTTTAGCTTTAAATTGTTCTTTACCACAGGTCCTCACTTCAATCCACTCAAGAAGGATCATGGGGCTCCTTATGATGATGAGCGTCATGCTGGTGATTTGGGCAACATTGTTGCAGGCCCTGATGGTAAATTCTGCTTTTCTTTTTCTTTTTTAATGTTTAATTTATTTTGATACTTTAATTTATTCTGCTTTGCAGGAGTTGCTGAGATATCCATTAGAGATAGACTGGTAAAGAATTAAACTTTGTGTGTTGTCTGGTGTTTAATAGATATCACTTTGGTAATTTGATATTCCTTGTGGTTTTAGAGAATCATCCCATTTTATCTGATCTGCCCATCTGCACAATTAAATTGATCACATGTTCAAATGTTGTTATGCAATACTGATTTTCCTTTAGTATTGTTTTTTGTTGGTTGTTATTTTCGTTTTGAACGTAGTTTAATTGGGTCTAGAACACTTAATTTTCCCTTTGTCACTTTCAATATGTAGATTCCACTTAGTGGACTTCACTCCATAATTGGGAGGGCTGTTGTTGTGCATGCTGATCCTGATGATCTTGGAAGGGGTAAGATTTTATAGTTTGGCCACAGAACATGTTTCATTAGGTTTCCACTTTGAAACATATCTTTTGGTTTCCGCTAGACATGTTTTATATTATAATTTCATTGAAATAATTTTCATGTGATAGTAAGCTGTGAATACCATTAAGGTGCAAATTACTTCTGTGGTCCAAATTGATTGATGCTGTTCTGTTAAGATACACCTTTTTTTTATATACCCACCTCAGCTTGGCTGCATATTTCCTTTCATATTACAGAAACTTTTTATCTAGTAAGCTTAACTCCTCTAATGAGATTACTTATTTACTGCCTAATGACTATCAAGTATTTTGCTTCAAACTATTCTACTCCTTCAATGCCTGATGCTGTGAGAGACCAAAATGAAAAAGGATATAAATTGTATTATTAACAAAGAAGAAAATACTGCAGAAAGCTTTTCCACGGCACAAATCAAATATGCAGTTATTGGGTGTAAAAAAAAACATTCAAAGGGGCAGAGGGCCAAAGGTGCCTCACACAGTTGTGGGATGCAGAAAGTTACAAGTTTTTTTTTATAGGGGAGGTGCAAGAACTTTGCCTCCTCCAAACCCTCGAACCACACCGTACTAGAAGAGACCTTACTTTAATACCACTTGTAACACCCGACAACTTATTCGAGATTGACAACTATCCTTACAAACCAACACAAGACTTTTCCTCAACTGTATAGTCTCATACATATACAATTTTTGGATCTCGTTTATTCTGGTGTATGTTCGATTCATTCATATGTCATTCCCACTAGAAGCTTACCAAAAGCCGTTCCTTGTCTGTGCATTGCATTGGCGATCACTTCCCACCCTCATCAACGCCCAAGATGTCACATATCCCAGCTAGGAACCACTCTCATTGGTGCCTTGGATGTCACAAAGATAATGCCTCCAGTGTTGCACTACTAAGCCAAGTGCCATGACTTTCTTCTCATAGATCGATTTATTAAGGTTCTGAGAAGCTAAAGCTTTGCTAACATAAGCTATAGTTTGTCCTTCCTGTATCAGAGTAGCACCTATTGTTTGTCCTGATGCATCACACTATCATGAATTCCTTGGAAAAATCAGGTCATGCAAAAACTAGGAATGTCGTGAGACAGTGCTTGAGTGTGTTGAAGGCTTGTAGAGCCTCTTCATTCCAAGAAAACCCTTCTTTCTTGGTTAAGTTAGTTAGTGATCTAGCAATCTTACCATTGTCCCTTATGAAATGTCAATAGTACCCAAACAGTTCTAAAAACCCTTAGCATTGGAAGGAGTTGGTCACTCTAATAAATTGGACCTTCTTTGGATCCATGACAACTTCCTTTAAAGAAATAACATGGCCTAAGTACTCCACAGATGGTTGTCCAAGGAGACACTTCTTTTCATTAATAAAAAACTGATGTTGTAGCAATGGGGTTAAAACACTCCCCAAATGGCACATATGATCAGTCCAAGTAAAACTATATATTAGTATATTGTCAAAGAATACTAGCACATACTTCCTCAACCAAGTCTAGAAGATAGAGTTCATAGTGGACTGAAAAGTTGAAGGTGCATTCATTAGGCCGAAAGGCATTACAAGGTACTCATAGTGCCCACCATGAGTGTGAAACGCTATCTTGTAAATATCATCCTCCTTCACCCTTATTTGGTGACAGCCTAAACGGAGATCAATCTTTGAAAGGAACTTAGCCCCATATAATTCATCAATCAACTCATTAACAGTTGGAATTGGGTACTTGTTTGGCACAATAACCTTATTAAGAGCCCTATAGTCCACACACATTCGCCAAGAGTTATCTTTCTCTATAACTAGAATTACAAGACTAGAGAATGAGCTCTTACTTTGTTTGATGATCCTAGAATCTAACATTGCCTTGACCTGTCACTCAATCTCGTCCTTATGGTGATGGGCATACCTATAAGGCCTCACGCAGACAGGACTAGTTCCTGGTTTAAGCACAATAGCATGATCCTAACTTTGCCAGGAGGAAGACCTTGAGGTTCTTGGAACACTTGCAGGTATTGTTCCTTAAGAAGGAGTAATTCAGCTTGGAATTGGGAAGGTAAAGCTTCCTGCGATTCAGCTGTAGTCCTTTCTCCCTAAACTTCATAGACTAACAACTTATCTTGAACTCCAATTGACTGAAGAAGTCCCTGCAATGCAGTAGTATGGCATTGATCCTTCACTTGGTAACCTTTGAGATTCACTGACCTTCCATTCTGCTCAAAGGTCATGAGTTTCTTCTTCCAATCCGACCTCACTTTTCCCAAGGTTTCTAACCATTCCATCCGTAGAACCAGGTCAATGCCCCCTAACTCCAAAATATAAGCATCTACCATAATCCTTTGCTTCCCGATAATAATGTTTAGTTCCTTACATCGGCCTCGAGACATACATTTATTGCCATTGCCAAGACACCCATCAAATTCTCTGGTCTTATAATTGGCAGCCCAAGAGAAATCACCAACTCCTTGGTGATGAAGTTATGACTTGCTCCACTATCAATGAGCACCAATATGGGAAACCCGTGCAACTATTGTTCCAATTTGATTGTCTTGGAAGGGCCAAAGCTCAATTTGAAACCATATTCAGGTCTACCATCTGACATATAATTTCCTAGTCAGATAGTTCCTCAACATCCTCCTCGTTGTTACCTTCTTTGTCCCAAAGCAGTAAACGCAATTGCTTGTTAGGACACTGATGGGTGGGGCTATAGTGTTGTCCACATTCGAAACACAGCCCCTTGTTTCTCCCATCCATCACCACCCAATTTCTTCGCAGTCACATTCTCTTGTTTCTCACTAGTATGTAGGTTTGATATTTGTTCTGAAACTTGCTTACCACTATTAGAGCCTGCTTACCTGGCACTTGCTAGGTTTGAATGAAAATTATCGCAAAACACAACTTGCGTACATCCCAAGTTGGACTAAGCTTGATCAACATTCCCAAGCTTTCACTCTAACATACACGCTGTAGAAATTAATTTGTATTTGGCAATTCCAGCATTAAAACCTCCAAGTGAATGTCCTCCTTAAGGCCGCCTCCTAAGAACAATCCCATATATTGATTGTCTAGCATGGGTGGAATTTTGAGCTGCCAACATTTCAAACTCCTCTACATATTCGTCAATTGTTCGCTCCTGAGACAACAATTTCAATTGAGCAAAAGGATTTCCAGAACGATGTTCATCGTAACAATCGAAGAGAGCAATCTTCAAGTTCTCCCAAGATAATTGAGGATTTGATTCCCTCAACACCTTGAACCAATGCGCAAATCCCTCCATACAAATATGCGCAAGTTGACCACGAGCCTCAGGCAGTGTTCCTTGAATTGTGAAATAGGCTTCGCTCTAGAAGTCCAACCAACAAGATCGATCCCCTGGAATGCAGGTAGTTCAATCCGTTTGGCCATGAAACGATACTAGTCAGGATAAGGTATCGATGAACCTTCTCCGGTGTGTGTTTTCTCTTTTCTTGATCCTCCGATCACGTCCAGTGAATTCCCTGGTGACGTCAGAATACTTTGTTGTCACTGGAATCCCTCTCGGATTTCAGTTTGCATTGCCGCAAGGGGAAGAGCAATTTCCCAGACGCTAGCAAGCAAGGAACCCAGTTTAGCTCAGTGTCGTCATTCTCCTTTGCATGCACAAAGGTTCTGGCATCAGTGTGAAGATCTCAATGAAAGCACCAATTGATAGGATTAAATTTCTGAGAGAAATGAGTTTATTGAACTGAAATTCAAATGCGATAACAAAAAGATAAGAGCAACGCTCCCAACAATGGAGAGAAGCCCAGCCTAAGCTTAAGGAAAAACTGAATATACATCTCCCCTCCAACCCTACTCGTTATCCCCTACAAATTCTCTCTTTTGTAACTAATTCTTCATACCTCTTGCGCCACCGGTCCGCCTTCGACCTTGGCCTACGAAAATAGGTCTTTCCCCAATTGCCCTTATTTGGTTGGCCTTAGTAGCATTTGGCCCATCATATCTCATCACCATTTTTTAGTTTTTGACTTTCTGTTTATTATGAAACAGGTGGGCATGAGCTCAGCAAGACTACTGGAAATGCAGGTGCAAGAGTAGCATGCGGTAATGCTCACTGTTGTTCATATTTTTTCCATACATTAATCAATTAAGATCTACTCCAGGGCTTGAATTCATTGCATGCATAATTTGTTAGTAGCTTAGTGCCTCTACAATATGAATTTTTCTTGTCAAACTTAAATAGGTACGGTCATAGAAACACTTATTGAGTAAGGATGATAAGACCTTGTTCACTCACAACATGATAAGTTATATGGGTGTAATTTGGATAAATTACTCAATAAGTACTTGTAAAAAAAGAAACAAAAAGGTAAAATGAATCAAACTTCTCCCATAAGTTAAAATCAATTTATATACTCCAACTTTTGATAAAGCTAAATGAAAGATCTTCTAAGAGAGATAAGGTACATAAGTTGATTTTACCTTATGAGAAAAATTTGATTTATTTTTATATCTTTATTTTCTTCTCTTATTGATAAATTTATTCAAACTGAGTCATTATCTGTTATATAGTTGAAGTGGTAGCATGTGACATTGTACAATTCGGCCTGCGGCTTCTTGTTCTATATGTTGAAACGTCTGACAATTGCTAATTGTTGATCAGGTATCATTGGGCTTCAGTCATCTGTTTAGGATAGTTTGCCTACAGATAATATATTCAGAGATGGTGTATCCAATTTCATTTAATTTCTGTATGAAATTACAATCATGATGTAACTACTGTATAGCAACTCTTATGACAAGCTGAAGTTCTACTACATTGTTACTCGGTTTCCTTGCCCTCTAGTATGCGAGGACTGGGCTGAAGTTGATATACCATCTATATAAGCCATAAATGCAATAAAAGATTACTATAAACTAGTTTATTGTTGGGTAATTTACGAGTGTCTAACAGTTCAATTTAGTTCATTTTTACTCAAAAAGTCATCTGAACCCGACATAAAAATAGTACCTGATTCAATTTGAATGTAATGTCAATCGAATAAACTCAAACTGATATTTTGCAGTGGTTTGGATAAATTCTTTTGGTTTTGTATTTATTTTTAAATGAAATTTATTTTCTTAAAATTATTTATTTTATATGACTATTCATTTAATTTCAAATTTAGATTAAATAGTAGCCTAATAAAAGTGTTTGTTGAAGAAAAATAAAACAACGTTAGTTAAAAGGGAAAATTTTAAAAGAATAGTAGATTTGTTTATAGAAAAGAGAAAAGAAAGGATACACAGTCGAGAAAAGTGAGAATAGAGTAAATGAAGAATTTTACCTTATATTTATACAATATTATTATAAGAGGAAGGAAATAACAATAATAAGTTTTATCTCATCACGTGAGATTAGCTTATAAATGTCATTAAACTGATTAAAAAATAAATTCTTTGATTTGTTATTTATTGTTAGATTTTTTTAATAATTTTATCCAAAAAAAATTTAAATCTCTATCCTTTTTTATTAGAAAAATTATGTCATTGATTTCTTTACTAGGATTTTTAGTAGTCTTCTTTTGCTCGTGTTTAAATTATCTTTAATTTATTATCATTTTTTTTCACATTAGATGTTACTCTGATATTTTTATTTATATAATATTATGTTTTCTCTTATGTGATCGTTTATTCATTTTAGTATTTTTATTTATGCAACTCTCACTTTTTTATATTGTTTTATTGAAGTTTAACATTCGCTAACATTCAAGATAGTTAATTGTAAAGTAATACAAAAAAAAAAAAAAAACTCTTTCAACTCAATAGGTACTTTACTTTAAATAATCCTATAATGTATTTGTTTACTTAAACAATTTGACTTGTATTTGATTAATAACATCATTAGTTTTTCTATGATCCCAAGTATTTAAACTTAGAGATCTTAAGTATATTATCATCTTCAATTTTAACTTTCAATGCATAATCATCATTTTGTTTCTTATTAAAATTACAATATGTATACTCTTTTTTTCTTCTGCTAAAGCAAAAAATCCTTAAATTTCAAAGTATGTTTCTAAAGCTCAAGTATAGAGTTAACCTCCTATTTTGATTCCTTAATCAAGAATATGCATTTAATTTAGGAATAATTTTTGCATGTCACTCATAAGCACATCTAAACTAGCTTAAATAAGGACTCAAAGCAAAATCTTGATATAAACATATTTTTATAGGAAAGTTCTTAAATACACTTGCAAGAGTTTTTACATTTTTAGTTATTCTCTTATACATATGTTGTATAGCACCAAATGTATGCTACATAAATGCATTTTTTTCTAAAGTCTTCCTTCCATAACACTTCTTTGAATACACAATCATATACTTTTTACAAGTCAATAAAAATTATATATATATATATATATATATATATATATATATATCCTTTTTTTTAGTGTACTTTTTCATAAACTTTCATTTGTAAAAGATATATAGCATTTATTGTAAACTTTCTGGATAAAATTAAATTAAATTAAATTTTTATCATTCCAAATTATTATTTTAATCTATGCTCAGTCACCTTTTTCGTGCTTTTGAATATAGAAACCAAAGTGTTATTCCTCTACTCATTTGGCATATTTTAAATCTCAAAACATTGTTAAAGAGTTTAGTAAGTTAACCAATTCATTATTCTCTTGATCAATTTATATTAAGGACTTATTTTTTGAACCAACTTGAATTTTATGATTGTATATTAAATATTTGCTTGGCTTTCTAATCCTTTTATATTTTCATTTTATATCTAATATAATAGAAAAATAATATAAATGTATTATAGATGCGGTTTGGTTTGATTCAGAAACTTGTTTGACAAATTACAAGAGCAAGAATTAATTCTTTCTACTGTGACATGTTTCAACTTAAAATTTATTTTATAGATTAATTTGGATCGTTTTAATTACATTTAATATTTTAAAAATAATCACAAAATGAGCTTAAATGGTTGATACTGTTTAACCAACAATTCCTGTGAGTAGGAATGGTCCGTTAAGAACAGAAAATATTATCAGTAGTTTTACATGTTCTTCAAAGCTTTGTCCATGGTACCGATCAATATTCAAGCATAAACGTTAGTTTTAAAGCAAATTCATTGTATTCTTCCGTTACATATTTTCAATTCTATTTTGTTAGATTGCTTGCCTTAAGAGTGGATCTTCTAATTTAAGGCCATTATACAAATATTCGTTGTGAATAATACCTGTATTACAACTTTACAGTTATACCAAAAATAAATTACAACATTCAGTGTTTTTATTCATAAATCAATATTTAAATACCAAAGGCATAAAACATATTTTTCATGCGTAATTGAGAAATTTTAGAGGCATTGATTCATTTTTCATAAATATATCACCTATGGTTTAAAAAATAGAAGTAAAATTAATTTGTAGGTCTTTATAGTTTCACAAAATTTATAATTAGGTTTTTGTATTTTAAAAATTTTACTTATTTATATTATTTTTTAAAAAAGAAAATCTATGAAAGATAACACCATTAAAAAATTTATCCATTTCGTAAATTGAATTTATATCGTCAAACTATTTGGCTCGTGAGTTTTGACCATTATTGCTTGCAATTTGATATGAATCAATTAAGACGTTAATTACAATGCTATTAAATCTGTTAAAGCAGTAGTTAGTAATTACAAGGATAAATATAAATAGAAGAACAATCAAATTAGCAGGTATTTTTGAATACTTGTAATTTTTCTTAATTTCATTGACTTTCTAGTTTTTAGATAGTTTTTCCATTAGATAATTTTTTTAAAACTATCTCTCCTATCACAATTTTCACTAATTTTGTGGTGCTTTTTTTAATGTGGTTCCTGTCGTTAACCATTTTTTGTTGGTGTCGTCCATCACACCCCTACTTTCTCAACCGGATTGAGTAAGGAAATCCAATGGCTTCAAACAGTGATATATCAGCCTACTAAAATAGAACATAAAAATTATGGCAGGGTGAGAACAAAAGGTAAACTATGTGTAAATAATTCCACAAAATTTCAAATTATGTTAACCGTAGAGGGGAATAAATTTAGGACTTGTTTGATTTAGTTTTTATTTTATTTTTTAAAAATTACATTTTAAAACAATTTAATAAAACTGTTTTTAAGAAAAAATATAAATAAAATTTTTTTGGATAATTTATTTTTTAAGACTGTTTTTAATTGAGTTTTCATTAGTTTTGGAAAGAGAAATAGAAAAATAAAAATAAAAGCATCCTAAAAGTAATTCTGATTTTTAATCGTAAAAACTGAAAATAAAAAATTATTTTTAAAAATTATTTTTAAAACTTAAATTAACAAACAAGTTTTTATATTTTTTATTTTTGAAAACAAAAAAATATATTTAAAAAGAGAACAAACGGCCCTTAATTTTTCTAGTTATCCCTGCGATACAAATAGAACGGCCAAAGCATGGCTTCACTCACAAATGGATTTTAAAAAAGTGGGCTAAATCAGATTTTGGTCTTCCAAAAATTTTAGATTGAACTTAATTTGTTATGTTCACATAAAATTAAAGTTAGCTCATAATTTTATTAAAACATAATATAGTCAAGATGTTTCATCAATAACATTGTATCATTATGCTTTTAGTAAAATTATATTGTCTCTTAAAACTGAGATTAAAAAATATATATAAAAAAATGGAAGTATAAATGCTATATTATCATCCACGTCACATTTTATAACATGTTTTAATAATATTAAATTAATCAAATCTATTGACAGAAAAAAGTGTGTTTCGCGATGGATCGCTAACTAATCTCATTTTATAACATTTGTATTAACCATTATGCTTAAAACCCCCCAGATTGAGACCTTATCACAACAGTGTTCAAGTGGAGACACAAGTAGACCCTAATAAATAAAATTTCTTCAGTTTAAAGGATTGTGTCTTTGTGTCAAAATGCACTACTGAAGTACCTATCATCCATGATTTGGATGAAAATAAAAGGAAATGCTTCTCTCCTTCAGCGAGGTTATAAGGCAACAACACGAGAAACTTTATTTACAACAATGAAGTAACACATTACATGAAATTAGAGAGAAACCCAAGTAACCAAATGGAACTACATAAAGCAGTCAAAATGTAGTTGTAGCACATTGAATTCAAAAGACAGAAACCAGTCCTGGAAAACTCAGCACCATCATTAGAATGTAGCCAATGATTAGTTTGGCCGAGTGAAAGCTGTGTCAGTATACAATATAGCTTCGACAGCAGGGACTTCGGCAAGAACACGGTTGTATCTTCTTTAGCCTCTCAACCAAGTGTTCCTATAAGATGAATTGTCTCGCAGAGAGGCATCATGGGGCTTGTACTCCATAACATAGCTGTGAGGAAGCTTTAAGTGACGTTTAATTGAATCTCTCAGAGCCATTACAGCCTGTAATGAGAAAGCAGGAACATTACTAAGGACAAATATGAATGTATATTCGCAATTGCAAAGTATCAGTAATAATTCCAACCTGATGATCAGAAGCATTGCGATTCCACACACTCAATATATCCTCATTGAAACGAATGCTCAGTACAGCACCACATATGTTATCCCCATAATCCAATTGGTCACCCACTAAGGCAAGAACCTGCACTTAGCCATGTAATGCTATTACAAATTTCAAGTCTCCAACAATAGAAGACACAAATATAAGTAGAATCAATGGTATGTCATGAAGTCAAATTCACAAAGATATATTCCAAATGGTAATTTAGCTGGTCAACAATTTGCCATCATTCAAAACCTCACAACAGTATACAATATTAATGTGGAAACCAAATGAAAGGTATATCATTTGCTAAATAGCCATTGCATACTGTTTACATTAATGTCCAAAGAATCAGCATCATTCAAAACCTCACAACAGTATACAAAATTAGCCATCACAGATGATCTAGTGTTAGCTACATATCGTAAGCAGTGGGTTGCTATCCATTGTAAGGTTTATGATTACTTGATAGAATACCCAGCTACCGGCTATATTTAGAAAAATGGTCTAAGAAAAAGAAAGGGCACTCAGGATTCAAGAAGAAAGTCATTTACCATAATAAATGAAGAATTCCACCACTTCTTGACAAATTAGAAAAGTCCTTTACATTGAGCTTAATAGTCCTACTTCTCAATTGCAGCGGCAGATAAATTTTAAACCAACCAGGTACTTATGTGCTAAACTCATTAGCAAACAAAAAGAAAATCAGAAATTTTTCCTTACATTATTTGAAAATTAGCTAGTCCCATTAATGTGATTCTGTTCTGCACAAGAAGAAAATAGCTTCCACAGAAACAACTTCATGGAAATCAATAAACAGAATTACTTTCCAAATCAATTTCTATCAATGCTTCCTCCTCTAGTTATCAGGAACGCACCAACTTTATTTGATAGAAACTTACTTATTAACTAGTTCATATCATATAATGAAGTGGAATTTTTTGTGGAAAATAAACAAAATTTTTTTGCACAAATCAAATGACAGGTAGATTAATGGAGGCCTAGCTACTCAACATTATTCCACTGCAAGGACAATGGACAAAAACTAATTGGGCAACAAAACCAAGTACCCACAAGTCCTGGTGTTTCTAAAAGGATTAGTAGGTTTCAGTGGTTCTATATTAAGTTCAAATATTAATTGGCTGCTTTCGATTTGATCTTAACTTGCACATAGGGTTAAACTAAATATATATCACCCCAAAAATCAAAGGGCTTAATAGTTATAAAACAGAACAAAAGAGGGAAAAATACAAAACAAAAAACAAACTTGGTGGGGGCAGCCATTTTGGTAAGTAATTTTCTTACGATGAAAACAGCAACTGGTTAAATTAGCACCCAATATCTCTTAGCTTCCACACAAGAAATGTAGGCCCAGTGGGTCCAATATCTACTAGTCTGCCATCCACTCAGTGCTAACTAGAAGAATTCACTTTTTGAACTAACAAAACAAGTCTTTTCATTTTCCTTTTTCGGTTAAAAAAATGTTGACAGGGCTTCTGAAACATTTTCCCACCCCAAACTAAGTGACAAATATGTCAAGTTGTAACCTAGACAACCTCAAATGTGTGCACTGTGAACAACCCTGTGGAACATAGAAATCATGCTTCACAAACGGAGTAGTTCAGAGACAAATTTCTATTTTATAAATGGTAATCAAAAACTAGGTTCTGTCTTCACTTTCTGTTGAAAAAATCAACAACGGAACATTTTAGGCCCATAAAACATTTCAATTACTTGAACATAGCATAATTTTAATGGCAAATTTAGATATCAACAACAACAACCAAGAAATATTCTATTTAGTGGGATCAACTACATGTATCAAATGAAGCTGTAAATGAGATCTATCAAAAACCAAATTTTCATTAAAACTATTTGATGGAAGAACAAATTTAAATAAACACTCAATAAATTAAAGTGTTAACATTTTATCAAGGAAGATACAAAAGATGCTTTGGAAGAAAATCTTTGCACTTACCAGGTCTTCCCAAAAACGACCTGAGACAACCTTTTTGAATCGTATAATCCATTTACCACCATTGCAGTTAGCAGAGTCCTTCAGAAGAAAGTCATGCACCATGTCAAATGGAACAGCTTATAATTCTCAATCAACAAGAAAATACAACTCCAGCTACACATTTTAAGAACCTACCTCCCATAAGGGACGAATTCCTTCCTTGAAAAGGTGCAAATCTGTTGGACTAGGCAAAGAAGAAGGACGAGCAAGATGGCAATAGCAGACCCAAAATCCTTCAACCTATAATAGTATTAACACCCACATTTGCCAAAGTAAGAAAATTTAATGAAATATAAACTACAATTCAACTATAGTCCCTCATAAAGCAAAAGACCTTACCGTACTGAAATCAACAATTTTCTTTATGTTGTCTTCGTACGATGTTTGATTTCGAACTCCGGGCGTTCGACGTGTGTACCAAAATACAAATTTGTGCTGCTCATAAAGACCACCACCACCGACACAAAATAAATCAACCAAAATGTAAAATTGCACAAACAGTAAACCACACAAAGATAGAGTGAAATAAATAAGCATAGCCACCAGCCCACCACACATAATCTACAAGCATGTCAAATCATTAAGAGCCAAATCTAATCAACAGAGCATAATCATCTCCCACATATCTGCATCAAAGAAGAACAACCCACTACACCCAACATAGCATTTGATCAACTCTTCCAGGATCACAACCATTTCTATTGTAAAAAAAAAAAACCAAAAAAAATAAGACTCTGGAGGCACAGTGATAAATCAAAGCAAGCTACCCTTAATCAAAACCTTTACAAAAACATGCGAAATTTTTTAACCATTCATTATCTTCCTCATCAAATAACATATACCCGCAACCCAAAACTTCCGATTTGGTTCATTATATTCCACCTCAGCATGTCTATGCGTAACTGCAAACTTCAGTTATATCCATAAATCGCTAATAAAATCCCGAAATCTCAACAAAAAAAAAAACTAAGAAACATTAAAAATCTAGATATCAATCACCAGACTTTTCATTTAACGCATTGCATACAAATTATTAAAAAAGAAAAGCATCGGCTCAACGTCAAAATTACCCTAAATAATAATAATAATAATATTTTTGGTACTGTTTGAACCTTCAGGGGGTGAAGACCAGCTTTAAGGTCACGGGCTTGTCGTTCTTCGGCTTCTTTGCTGTTGCTGTTAGCATCAGCTGCCAATTGAGAAGAAGAATCCAACGTTTGATGAGTACTTTCGGGGTTATTGTTGTTGTTGTTCTCAGACTCCTTCTTCTCCGCTGTCAAATCCATTATCGCTTCCCAAAACCCTAAGCCCCTTTTTTCCTTCTGCTTTCAGTGTTGAGGTTCAGATCAGAGAGATAAATTGTGTTTGGGGTTTTAAGCTTTATAGGTAGCTTCAGTTCTCAAATATTTTAACTTTTTTTCTTCTTTTTTTTCCCTCATTTCTTGATTCTGTCTAGTCTTATATTAGATTTCAAATATGAAAAATACAAGTTTTTTATAAAAATATAACGTTTTATTTTTTATAATATTAATCAGGTATAATTTATTAATGATTTTTATTTATCTTAATGAATATTTTAAATAAATTAATTATTCAAAAAAATAGTAAGTTATTCAAATAATATCTTAAAAATTCACTGAATATTAATTTAAAATAGTCATTTCATTAAATCATTATAATTAAAATAATAATTATTTTAATTATATATGACAATTTATCTTCTATTTAAGAATTCATAGAGGGGACATAACATTAGGGACCTTGAAGTTGAAGGTCTTTTTTTATGGGAATGGGAAAAAAGACAATTTTAAAGATATGTTATATTTAAAATAAAAAATAACGAGGTACCTGGGATTTGAAGATATACCGTGGATGAATATAATTAGTTTATTAATTTAAATTTATTTTTAGTATATATTTTTTTATAAAATATTTGTTTTAATACAAAATAGTCTTTTTGAAAAAAGAAAGCACAGTGTTTCATTTCATTTTCTCTGACTTTTTTTTTTCTTTGTTCAAATTTTTGAAATCTTTTTTTTTATTTTTTATAGTTATAAGTATTTGTTTTTTGAAAAAGTCTTTTATATTTATTTTTATTTTATTTCATCTGCATAGACGTATGATTTTCTTTAAGATTGACCTCTTTTTCAAATGAGTCAAACCTCAATACCACATTCATCAAAGAGAGACGACAATCTCTAAAGGTCAATAGCCTCCTATTAGAATAATTAGACGACAATCTCTAAAGGTCAATAGCCTCCTATTAGAATAAGCTAATTATTTCTTTAGTTCTTTATAGTTGTAAGTATAAACTAAGGTGTATGAGTGCATGATTTTTTCTCCCACGAGTTTAGAAGAAAGAGACTGCAAGAGGATATTAAAAATCTACAAATTCAAAAGTAGCTACTTCCTTAAAACTACTCCTCCGAGATAGTTTCAAAGAAAAACTCACAAGCAGAAAAAGGGTTTTGAAGAAGCTAACATAAAACCATGATAGATTGATTGCAAAAACTAGTAACCATCAAAAATTATACTAACAAATGAAATTCAATTAAATGGTGGACTAAATATTCATAAATTACTTGAGTAAGAGAGGTTCACGAACAAAACATGAAGGTTTGTTCAATCTGTAACAAAAATCACATTTCTGCAATATATGGGACTCGTCATACCAGAAAAATGCAAAGAGGCTGAAAATGAAAAATAATTGAAAATTGTAGGTGAGAGTAAAGATAAGAGAAGATATAACACCCTTATTTTATTAGTTATTATTATTACAATTTATGTTAGTTATTTGTGCATGTTATCTGAAATTAGGAGAGTTTGATTGGTGTAAACTACAAAATATCTCGTTGAGCAAAAGAGATCATCCAAAACCAAGCCCTCTCACTATAACGAGGGAGTCTCGCTGTAGTGATAAATAAATAAAGATGACCCAACAATACTCGCTATAGCGAGGGATTTTTGCTGTAGCTTAAATGACAAACAACAAAAGGAAAATGTTGTCTGATTTTTTTTGCTGTAGCGAGAAAGTCGTGAGTTTGAGGGATATTTAAAGAATTTCTATCCTAAAAATCTTTATTTTAGAACCAAAACGCCTCTCCTTTTCTATTTTCTCCATTCTTCCCCTCTTCCTTCTTAGAGAAAGCCTGTCTAACCCTAAATCTCTCTCGAATTTCAACTCAAAAGTATATTCCACTCAAATCTAAGTAAGTTTTCAGAACTTAGTTCTTGAATTTTGTTCCTATTTCTTTGTTCTCTTTTTTTGTAATAATACTATACTCTGTGATGTTAGGAAGAACTTTGGTATTTGGATAGTATCTTTGGTCAAGATGTAGAGTTTACTTTAAAACCCACGAATAACTTAGTTTTAGAGATCAATTTCCAGGTAAGGAGAGTTATTCCTAAACCCTAGATATCACTTATATATATATAGATTTTGAAAGAATTGAACTATCTCATTCCAAATAGCAAATCTATAAAGTTTTCTTGCAACTATATGGTGAAAATAGATTTTTGGTATAAAAAGGGTCAAGATAAAGTTTATGGTTGAAGTCACAAACAAGAATGAGTTTAAGAAGTTTTATAGATAAGTTACTCTATATATATATATATATATATATATGTGTGTGTGTGTGTGTGTGTGTGTATGTGTATGTATAACTGATATCGTAAGTTATTATCTCTTTGAATAATATATGTGTTGAATAATGAAAAAGTAGAGAATGTTAAACTTTAGGATAGAAGACTTTGTTAAGATAAAGAGAATATATTCTCTAGCAAATTATTTATGAATTGCAAGATTGGTCTGAGTCCGAAGGTGTCCAACCAAAAAAATGTTTTCTATTTTATAATTATATGCGTGATTTATTGATTTGGTATGATTGATGAAGAATTTGTTTAACGGTGTGAATGATGAAACGTGTTTCGTCATTTATATATGAAATAGACTAAGTCTAGGGGTATGAAGTATTAGACACGTTTCATTTAATAAAATGATGAAAAAGAGATGAAGGAAAAATTATTATAAGTGAAAGGTAAAGGAAAGAATTGGTGTGAATAATTGAGAACTATTGAGAATAATATGAGAAAATGAAAAAAGAGCAACTAATATGTGTGTCATAAAAATACCAATTAGTGCGATTATAATATGTGTATTGTAATACATCGATGTGTGAGATTATAATATTGATTGATATAAATAGTATGATTTTGATGTGTCATTGTTGAGATATCGTAGGAATAATTCACGAACACACTGGGGGTATAGGGTCTGAAGTTGTATCCATGTGTAGTTTAACTTATCAACCACTATTCATGCGGTGTAAGTTCTTTGTAATTAGGAAAAGTGCGTTGGTAGCGATTTAGGGGTCCGAGAGTTCCTGAAATACTGTTAATTGATAAAATATTCATATTTGAAATAGATATAGTGGCACGAAATATTAGAGTAGATAATGATGTTTGGTTAAGTGTGGAATAATGTGCATGGATGACTTTTGTTTGATTAAAATTGTATAAATAAATAAAGTGGCAGTATGAGTTTAACAACTAAAATTAATTGGGTTGAATTAAATAAGGAATGGAATGTGTATGGTTAAATTTATTAAGAATGGAATATATCTATTTCGTTAAATGTTGTATTAGAAAATGTTTCTGCCTTTATTTTGATTATTTTATGAAATAAGAATTTTAGTGGGATGAGAGATGATCACCCTTACAAATATTTTTAGGTAAAGAAGAAATAAATAAAATTGATCTGTTCTAGGATCATACTCGCAAAAGATGATATAAAAGGAACTAGTATGTAGGATTTAAATTTATTAAAAAATGTAATAATATTGATTGAATTTTCATTCAAGTTATTTATAATATATAATTATTATAAATAATGATTCAAAGTTGATGTGTAATATTTAATAGTTAATTGTTTAACTTTTAATTTATATCTAGTTTTAGTTAGAAAATTATTTTTCTTAAAATAGTTTGTTATCATGAATTTGAAATATGTATATATAATTTGAAATTTTAACTTTTATTTTATTTATAAATTTAAGTTATGAAACATGTTTTATTTTGTATTGTGAATGAAATTTTATGCGGATGAAATTTTTTTTTCTCATTTTTATTGTTTCAGATTTTATATATATGAAAATCTTTTTTAAATTATCTATTTTTTATTGACTTTAATCACATCATATTAATATCTATATATTTAAAATAAGAAATTGTTTAAATTTTAGAAGAATGTTACTTAAGAAAGTTAGGTTAACCGAAATCTTCATACTTTATCAATGTTTAGATCTTAAATTAAAGTAAAGAATTATTTAATAATAATAATTAAATATTTTAAAAAATTAATTAGTATATAATTTTTTTAAACCCTTTAAATATAAAATTAAAATTAATAAATTTAGAGAAGATATTATACTCTCTTAACAATGAAGGGTACAGGAGATTTTACCAAATAATAATTGTATTTTCACTCTTTTATTCTATTAGTTCTTTTTGACTTTTGGATTTTAGTTTTAAAATAAATAATTTTTGTTTGTATTTTTAATGATCTAATTTAAATAAAAAAAATTCATAATATCTTATTTTCACTCCCAAATTGTGGGATTTGGATCCCCCCATGTTCGATTTCGAACATGACGGTTATGTTCGCATGTTTTTTAACTTTCACTTAAGTGAGTAAATTTCGCTTAAGCGAAAGTTAAAAAACATGCGAACATGATCGTCATGTTCAAAATCAAACATGAAAGGATCCTAGCGCCCAAATTGTGATGCGTTTGAGAGTGACCGTGAAAATATACCAAGAAGTGAAAAATGAAGATAAGATAAGGAAATGCCTCGAAACAAAGAATAAGAAAGGATATTGTGGACAAAGTCAGAAATAGACAGTATATATTTTTATTAATAATAAGTATTATTTATTGAATATAATTTAAGTATTTAATATAATTATATTTAATTTTACTCAAATTCGATATTATAAGTTAAGTGGTAATAATTTCTTATAATGTTTAATTTAATATTTAATAATTTTAATATCATTAATATATAAAATATTATTTAATATTATGTATATTTGTAAAATGTTATGGATATATTTTAAAAGACAAAATTAATACGGTCAAAAAACTTAAAATTTTACATTATAATTTATAACATTTCATCGTATATATTATTTTATACTATAATAATAATTTATTGTATATAAAAAATTAATTAATAAAATAGTTATATATATCTACTCTTATGTAAAAGAATTATTCAAAATATGTGTTTTATATTAATAATTATTTATTTTTTATTTCAAATTATTTTTTTTTAATTTTTTTTTTAACTATTAGATAGAGTTTGGATACTGTTCCTAGACAATAGAGTTAAAGACACTAAAACAATGAAGGATAGAGATATTAATGTTTATGTTTATGTATTGTGTTTAGAAGTGATGATAGGATGTTATGTATTGCATCTTGTATTATGTTTGAATGTAAGAGACAAAACATATAAAGGTAGTGTATGTAATTTTGTAGAATTATCAGGAGTATTTTATATCTTTAAAAGTGTAGCCTCTATGTCCTAACGCTGAGACACGAATGTCCCTTCTTGCAGGAGATACAAGCGTGTCCTATATTTGTGTCTTTTCAGTGAGACACTAACTAAATATGACATGTATGTCTCTATTCCATTATCTCTGAACTAAACACTATTTTAATATTTATCAAATTATAAATAATTTTTAAAAACATTAACTTTTATTTATTATTAATCTTATTTGTTTGACGAGTTTACGAAGATCTATATTAAATTAGTTTTACGTGATAAAAAAAATATTTATACTTATAATTTATTAGTCATAGCTATAATATTAAAATTGTCAATAGTTAAATTTGAAATATTTGTCACTTATAATAAGTAACTTAGATAACCTTTGAAAATTTATATTTAAATTTCTTAAAAAAATTATATTTATGTTAGAATAATCTAGTATTTATATTCATAACTTTGATTATTTTTTATGTTATTATTTATTTTTTAATTTTAACTAGAAAATGTTTAATATTACATCAATATAACTAAGTATTTCTATATAATCTAAATTTATTATTTACTTGTTATAACATTAAATTTTGTAAGTTTGCTTGGTACATTAGTATTTAATATATGTATATTTCAATTATAACGAGTTTCATGATAATAAAAATATTTAGAGTTGTTTTTAAATTATAATTTTTAATTAATGGATAAACCTCAAATTAAATATCATTTTTTATTTATGGAAACAACTCCATACAATTAAATACATATACAATCTAATTAAATTATACATTTATATCATAATCAACTTGTTAAGTTTTTTTCTTCAACATATACTAGTAAATAACTTAACATTTGCATAAAGCATTATGTTTCATAACACGTTGCAAAAGTTATATATCTTTAGAACAACAAGTTTGCTTTAATAATTGTTTAGATTAGTAAAACTAAATTAGAAAATTTATATGCACTTCTAGTGATATATGAATGCTATTTTAAATCAATTAATGAACCGTTTTACACCTTTAGCTTGATAGGTTCATGAGAACTCTCAAAGAATTTTGAAAAAACTAAAAATATTTGATTGAGGGAAGGCATTGTATTATTGACTTTTTGGAAAAAGTATAAAAGATAAGATGATGATACAAACAATAGGTACATTATTTATCTCAAACCATTGTTTTTCTAATATTGTCATATCATGATATGTTGATCAACAATAAAATTAGGAAATATATGAATAATAAACAAATATTTTTATATCAACATATTTACTAATCCAAAACCAAAATACTATAATTTTCTCTCCATTCTTTAGGAATAACACACACTAGAACAAATAAAAGAACTTTGTCACTAAAATCTAACTCTTTTTGCTCCCAATATCTTTTAAACTTTCTTCTACTTTTTACTTACAAAATCCTTTTTATCAAATTTATAGCTTCCATTAATCTCTTTTCAATCTTGTAAATCTATTCATATGTTGCTTTTTGTTAATGAATCTCACTATAATTTTTATATTTCACATCCATCACATTTAAATTAGTTATTATACTCATCTCTGCAAACTATAAGCTACCAATGTGATGAGATGACCAATTTTGCCTCAAATGAGTTTTGAGGGTTTACTTGGTAATTCAACTTAAAGGACTTGACTATAAGCCAAAGTCTCAAAGTTCTTATTCTAGGAGGATGATCCCAACATGTATCTTTTATGTCTTTTATAATAACATATAATTATTGGGCATTATTGTGATCACATTATCATATCATAAATTAGGGCCAAAATGACATGAGACAACATAACTCAACCTTTAAAGAAATAGTTATATATTATGAGCTATTTATTGGCTAACATTCTAAATATTTATAAACTATTTTAATGAGTGAGTCAACTATAACCTTGAAGTTATGAGTTATTATTAGTAATATAACCTTAGAAGTCTGTGATATATATGAGACAATTGATTTTAGATTCTTGGAAGACTTGAACTCCTTGTTTCAATTGATTTTAAGATAAAGGAAGACGATGATCTCATGTTAAAGAATTTAGGCTTGATGTGAGAAACACTGTATCTTAGTATAATAGTTAGAGTTAATAAGTTAAAAGGAGTTAGATCCATTCATATATGAAGCTTTATGATAAATATTGTCACTATGATGAAACATGAAGGTGGCAAAAGTTTGCTGAAGACTAACTTTATGACTAGGCATGATTTGAAGTTATACAACGTTTTGTTTCATTGCAAGAGTGTTATATACCATAGATATAGCATATAACAAACAACCTTCGAACTTAAAATTCACTTACTAATTTTATAAGTTTTTATTAAGCAATTGTTTTATAAAATATAAATTCATATTCACTTTGGTAAGAAAGGAGTTCAACGTTTCCACTGTTTGGCTCCTTCGATAACTGTTATTACAAGTTTATCTTTTAAAGACTTATCTATTGGAGAATTTGGAGAACTTCACATTCATTTGCAGTTTCCTTTTTCCCGTTCTTTGTATTTTTTACTGATAAATAAAATAAAATAAAATAATACCTGTTGTTTATATATATATAAGCAAGATATTTTTATACAAGTTTAAAATTTTTTATATTTAATCTGAACATTTTATTTAACTTAAATTTAATTAGTTATAATTATTATTTTATTATATTAATATAAAAGGATCTATGTATATATATAATTTTAAAATAAATGAGCTTAATTTTTATAATAATAAAAAAATAAAGTATTTTTATTTGTATAAATCAAAAATAAAAATGATAAATTTTTAATTTAAGAAAAACAAAAAAACTGGCATTATATTTTCTTTTTATTTAAATACTATATATAGTTTATTAATTTACACAAAAATAATATACTTTGTTATACTTTTATATTCTTATTAATCATTAAATAAAATTTAAATAATTATATAATCAAAGTTTTAAAAAATAAAAATATATATTAACTAAAGTTTGAGTATTAAAATATAATAAAATCTGCAACTTTTTTTTAATTAATAAAAAAAGAATGGCTCCGGGAAACACACACGAGGTATACACGGGGGTAGGAGAGAGAAAGGGATTTTTAAGTATGAAAATGTAGAGAGAGAAAGAGAGAATACATAAATAACCATAAATATATACATCATTTCAATTTTGAGCTGGAAAGGTTGCTTCTTTGTCCTCACACCCTTCCTTCCTTAAGACATTACCCAACCAAACCAAACCAAACAAAACCAAACCCACTTCGCCACCGTCACCGTTACCTTAGCAACCCACACGACACAAACACCCAAAATCTTTCAATTTTTTCTTCTTTTCCTGTTTTACCCTTTCCTTCCTCTTCTTTTTACTCTTCCTACCCTTCTTCAATGGCGTTCTCGTCTTCTTCTCCTCCATCCATGGCTGCTTCCTTTCTTCTTCTCCTTTCCGTGATTCTGCTTCAATCCGCGTCTGGCTCTTCCCTCTCGTGCCTTCCCCATCCTCCTTCGTTTCTATTCAATCTTCAATCTCAGTGCCCAATCTCGATCCCGTCGAATCCACCTCTTCAGGTACTTTCCCGTTCTTACCTGATTTCAAAATTGCGTTTGATTTTAAGTTTTGGATGTTTTGGTGGTTTTGTTTTGTGTTTTTACTTTTTATCGGATTTTATTTCAATGTCTGGGTGGGTGGATGAACAAGGGTTCTGATTTGATTATGTGAAATTGGGAATCGGGGATTTCGCATCTTGTAATGACGATTAATATGGAGAATTTCTTACCCTGGGAAATGATTTTGAAATTTCTTTATTTTGCTGGCTTGAGATAATTTCTCATAATTTCTTGGAAATGTGGTTAAATGTTTTCTTTCAACTTTTTTGTTTAATTTTTATGGCAAACAATTGAATTTAGATTACCTTGGGCCTTTAAGACTTGTATTACGACTTTAGAATAGGATAGAGATTACGATGCTTAATTTATTGGATACGTTCAACTATTGTACTCTTTGTGGTTTTGGTTGAAAGGGTCAGTTTTGTTGGATCCTAAGGCATCAAACCTGGGTTTGGCTAGTTAAAAGAAAAGAAAAGAAAAAACAAAAAAAATATGAGGATAGTTTTGTGAGCTTAAAATTGGGGATCTAATTAAAATCTTCCCTGTAAACATTTTTTAGGGTCTATACCAAGTAGAGTTGTCAATTCGGGCTACTGGACCCGAGTCAGGTCACATCGGGTAGCGGGCTAATATAGGCGGCCCACTGTATCATACTTTTTCTCTAAAAATAAAAGATAACTTTATCCAACAAAATGAAAGTAAACCCTACAAAATAAACATTTTAACTAGTCTCTTATTTGAACTTTCATGAGAAGGTTTTGTATCTTCAATTGCAATGGCTTCCCTCGTCATCCTCTTCATCATAATTTAGAATCAAATATGAATTATATTGATAGATTTTATTATAAAATAAATTAATAATTTTAATTTTATAAATGACGATGTTAGTTTAAAATACATATTATTTACAAAAATATGTAATTAACTACGTGCACATGAGAGCTTGAATTGTTTCATCTCCCAATCAATTTTTATACTTGTTTAAAATTTGAAAGCCAATGCTAAAAGCAAATTCTGATGCCACATTAGTTATTGGAATACTCAATACATCACAAACATTTACAATTCTGTTCCTTTTAAAAAATCATAATATAGAAGCAATCTGACGGAAGAAGCCTTCGCTCTTCTAAATAAATATCAAGTTCTAACTTCCTGTTATTAATAGTTCTTGCACTTTCAAATTCTTCAATTTTTTTAAAAAATAAATAAAAAAATAAAATACCAATATTTATGTATATATATGAGAAAATTATTATTATTATTATTTTTAATTCTAAAATTAATTTACTTTATATAAATAATTCATATGTATATAACACAACATCAAGAATAATAATAATAAAAAAATATTTTAAAATTAATAGCGCAACAACAATATGCAAGTGCTCAGAGAAAGGATGGAGAAAATACAGGTGAGTTGATGTAGAAGTCTTGAAAAAGTTATAAAATTAGAATTTTGATATAGTGAAGAATGTACAAAAATAGGATAACATTAAAAACTAAAGAAAATCCCTATTGGAATTCGGAGTAATTAGTCACGGCCCATAATCATATTCACTTTAAAAAAATAATGCTGGCTGCAAACGACTTTTGGCCTAATCCTTCCTAAGCTTGCATGGGTTCGGGCTAAAAAGGCCTGGATTATTCGGACCTTCAATTTTAAAGTACAAACCCTCTTTTTTTGCAGGTATTTTTGGGCAAACCTATCAGGTAGGCCCATTTTGCTGGCTCTAGTCCTAAGCATCTAGATAAGTATATAGTTTGTATTAATTGTAGCTGAATGAGAAGTAGTTGACTTCATTATTTTTACTGGGTAGCATGGTATCATTGGTGTACCAATAAAATAGGTCCATTTGGGGTCCTCTAATAACCTCTAGTGAGTTATCCACTTTCCGTACAAGTAATAGTTGTATATGAATTATTGCTTTGATTCATGAGGAGATTGCATAAATTTCTTACTTTAAACTTTTAACATATTTTTTTACAGATGAACTTGGTAATATAATGCTGTTAATTTTTGTGATGGTCTCTAGCATCTCCTGAACCACTTGACATGACCACTATCATTATATTGTCTTCTTGGAAAAACAAAAAATTCCTATGGTATCTTTTGAATGATTATATTTTCCTCAGGAAAATAGATGACATTTTGATTCTATCAATGGGGTCATTCGCATTGTAGCTTTAATCCAAATCCTGAATAATGTCATTATTTTATTTCTCCTTGTTTCTTAAACCATTGGTCTCATAACCCATGGACAAAATCAAAATGTTGTTTAAAGATGGATAGACTCTGATATCATGTTAAAAAATTTGGGCTTAACTCACTTCCCAAAGCTAGTTGATAGGAGGAGGACTGCCTTAGCCCTTATAAGAAGTATTATGGTTCTATTCTTAACCAATATGGGACATCTTAATAATACCATAAGCACTTAAATAATTTCTTCGATCGGATGTAATTTGCATTTGCTGAACCTCTACATGACCCATAGCTAAACCCTTGGAATGTGATCAGCATGTAATTAAGATCTAGTGCAAAATTAATTTCTAACACATACTATGTTCATTGCTTAAAGTTAGTCAAGTTTGCTGAAACCTCAAAGTAACAAAATAAGATTAGTCTATTAGAAGTTTTCATATTATATGCATTTTCTTTTAGTTAATACTGTTTATTCTCATGGGCTGGATTGCTTCTGCTGATCCTTAATCACTGTAGACAATAATTTTCAACTTTTCTTTCTTTATAACTAGATTGTAGCTCGTTGGTTGGACATCCATTTTTCTTCTAGAATGTGAGATCCACACTGCATTGATGTTTATATTTTGATCAAACATTACCAAACTGTCACTATTGATTTTGAAACTAAGTGCTGTGTGGCTTTTGCGAACTTTGGTATTTGGATTTAATACTGATCAGTGATGACTGGCTGGAATTGATTAGTGTTACATGTGTTGCTATTTTGGTTAATGCTTAAGAAGCACAGGTACTTGTGAGGAAAATTTTTTAGTCCTACTACTGTGTTTGATCCTTTTCCTCGATCATCTTTTGATGAAATGACAAATCTAAGAGAAAACTTCCAGTAGAGTAAACTGGCTTGATCTGATGGATAAAATAGACTTCTTTTATCTTCCATTCATAGACTACTACTGATTCCTTTCCTTTTTCTCTCTGATTTCTCTTGCTCTACCCCTAAAAGACTCCCATACACAAACCAAACAATTTGCATTTCTTTTACTCTAACCTCTCATTCTTCATTTCTCTGGTCACCACACCCAAAATACACTTCAATCATCTAGTCAGTGTGCAGCAGTTCACTAAAATTGTATGTTCTTCTAAACTTGTCATTAACCAAGAGAAGACCCACATAAAATTTCACTGTCCCGGAATAACAACTAGAAACATACTTGTGCATGCATTGGTACTTGAAAATTTTTGTAAGAAAAATAATTTTTAATATTATTTTATAATTAATAACCCAACTTATTAGCATGTAAATTGAATGTCCATCTTATTAACAAAGAATAAGGATTTGAAGTGATGAGATTTCCATAAGACATCTTTGACTAAATGGTTGAAACTTGATTGGCTAATTTAGAAAACTGTATGAATAACCTAGCTGATATGATCTAGATTTGTCAAGATCACATATCCTTTTAGCCATATAAGAGTGCTCCCAGATTTTTCTATAGAAAAATTGTAGCAATGTTTATATGGCCATTATCCAAATATAATTTACTCAGAACAGGCTTGTGTAAAAATAATGTAACTTTTGAGTCTATTCTTGTCTTTTTGACCAATCAATGTTTATTTTAAACAATTTACCAAAAAATTGTAAAAAAACTTCCCTGTTTGTGGTTGTTTTGGCCATATGTACAGCAAGTTTCATCCGTGTCATGGGCGAAACAATATAATAATATTAAAAAAAGAAAACTAGTTTTGTATTTGTAACTGATGTAAATTTCTCATGCTAACACATGGTGTGTGTGTGTGTGTGTGTACAGAGTTTTTGTCCAAGCAATGGACAAAACTTGCCATACAAAAACAGACTACCAGCCACCTAGTTGGTGGAAAGTTTTCAGGAAGTATAGTCTAACTACTGGGCAAAACTAAAGAAAACAAAAGAAAAATAGAGTATTTGTACCATGGGAAAAACTCTTTTTTCTGAAAGTAAAGCGTTGAAAAACTAGCTCTGGTACTACCAAATGTTGCAATGGATATGTTCTTCACTTCTTGTAAGTCATAACCAGCACAAACATAATATTTCATAAATAATCTTACTGCAGAATTATTCTCAATTGTCGGTCCTTCCATTGGGCCAGCATACTGATTGAACATTTTTTTCAAGTCATGTGGTGGTACCAGTGCTAGTTCCAACGCCTTTTCTTAAGGAGAGTTTTGGCTGTGGTGTGGACAAAATACTCTTTCATTTTTGCAGCAATTGGGTGACTGGTAGTCTGTTTTTCCTTTATTTTTCCCTTTGCTTGAGCAAAACTCTCTGCATATGCATCACGTGTCATGATGCTTGAGTAAGGTAGGGTAATTTGTTAAAAGTAGGTGAACAGATGGTATTAAGAAGAGAAATTGACGCAAAATTTAACATTGTTAAGCCAACTGTGAATGATAGGTTTACTTCTATGAATGAAATCAACAGAGAATTCAGTATGATGATGAAGATTACAATGAATAGTTCAACACGCAAATCCTTCCCCCAATGCACACAATGTCTCACTATGATTGGTATTATTATGTGATTAACTTAACTAAAATTCACATAAACATATAAATTTCTTGCTTGGTTTAACCATGGGTTTATTGGGTTTGGTTACATGTTTGGTCAAGATCAAATGCAAAGGAGGTTTCCATTTTATGTGCTTAGCATGAAACCACAATCGTGGGTTTGACATCACATCTTTAGTTGGTAACTACCCATGATTCTTCTTTGCAAATAATTTGGCAGGATATAAACAGGATTTTATTCTTTGTTGAAAATGGTTATAAATATTCCCCATTTTAAAACCAGTTGAATTTTGAATTAATTGAACATTTATCAAGTTTAAGAAAATGGTATCTTTATAGACTGAAGTGACCATATCAAGGCAGAGAGAGGGATATATTTGCTTTGGGTTGATGGGATGTTGGTTCATTTTGTTGGTAAAAATCAAAATTTAATTGACTTTTCTTTTCTTTCCAGGCATGCTTGACTTTTCACTCATTTTCCATTTTTTTTTAAGCCTAATGTAATTGCTTCTGGTCTTTGTAACAGAGCTTTAATTATAGATTTGAGTAAATAGTTACATAGTTCTGTGATGTACCAATTTGCATATTCTGACATGATGTATTTATTTTTTTATTTTGATTTATTCAGGTCGATGGAAATTTCATAGAAGGAGTTCTGTCTGGCAGAAAGCGGATAGAGTATATTTCTATACTCTTCTATGCTTCCTGGTGCCCATTTTCACATAAAATGCTTCCTAAATTTGAAGTTCTTAGTTCCATGTTTCCTCAAGTAGAACATTTGGTTCTTGAGCAATCATCAGCTTTGCCAAGGTTTTGAAGCTATCCCTGTTATTATTTTTAAGTTTCTGGATATTGGTGAAATTAATTTCTTTTCCTGTTTGACTGGTCTGGGGATGGCATACAAACTACAATTGTTAAATCTATTCCTGGTTCAGCAATCTAATTTCCTGTTGAGAAATTCTAGCAACACACACTGACACACCTTTTTGGGAAACTCTATTATTGGGTGAAATCCATCTGGAACCCTAATAGGGAATAGGACCCACCAAAGGAGTGAAGCCCACATCATTTAATGGAAGTTGCGTATATACTAATAATAGTTTGTTGAAAAAAGTGTATTAAAAAGAGTATGTTGCTAGGATTTCTCAATTTCCTTATGGTTAGGCTAATGCCATTAAGTAATGTTAAATTTTTTTTTTTTCCTTTTCTACTTTATATTTTATAGGCGAACAACTGAAATTATGGCATACTCAATTGACTACCTTTATAATGCATGTTGATATCTACTTTTGTTCTGCTTTGCAGCTTGTATTCAAAATATGGAATTCATAGCTTGCCTACAATATTACTGGTGAACCAGACATCAAGGTTGAGATATCATGGTCCAAACAATCTTCTCTCCCTTTCGGAATTTTTTGAGAAAAACACAGGTAATCATATCCTTATTCTTGTTTCTAAAGATGCCAATGTATTATTTAAGACAACCAATTTTTCACCCAGATAACAACTCATGTGAAACTTAAGAAACTTCATTGACTGATTTTTTTCCCTAATTGACCTCCAATGACCTGTTTGCTTCTCTCAGGGTTTGAAGTTAGTAGTAATATTGCTGTTGGTCAACTAAGCAGCTTGATGAGTGATGAAAATTCAATCTCAAACCCGTTGATGGCTTTGTCTCTGAAGGAAACAATGAACAGAGAACCCTACTTATTACTCTCTGTGTTGTTTCTATGTTTGAGATTACTTCTTTTTGTATTCCCCAAGATTTTATCACGTATCCGAGCATTCTGGGTTTCTTGCATTCCCCAGCTGAACATGCAAATATTCGGTGAGACAAGCCAAGTGATGGGACGTGTGCTTCAGGTAATTGATGTCAGGAGGATTTGGACCAAACTAAGACTATGTAAGACCAGGAATTTTCACGAGAGGGCAAGGAGTGCCCGTGTTTGGGCTTCGTCTCTGGCTTCTGTGTCTCTGGGTGAGTCATCATCAGCTAGGTCGTCAACCCAAGGTTTGAACTGACAACTTTATTATGTACTTTTGAGGGTAGTTAAGAGTTTTCTTTTTATCAGTTAATATATCCTCAAGCTGCAGTGAGTGAAGCTTGGCAGCACAGTCTTCTCTCTTGCTAATTTTGTTGTTACTTGTTAGTACTAATAGTCAAATGTTGATTTATGTCTTAATCTGGGTTTAAGGAGAAAGCGAACAGGCATGTAAATTTGAGAACTGTTTCCTTTCGTGTAAATTAGTTGTTTCTGAATGAAATCATACACACATTACTGTGATATAAGCATCCTTCCCAGCCACCCCCTCCCCACGACACACACAGGCTACAAGTAAAGCAATCTGGAGTGTAACTGATATATTACTATTTTCCAAGTCTGAAAAAATGTACACGGATTCCGCCATTATCTAGTTGTCTAAACTAAAGTACGGCTGAGTGTGACTAAGTCCATGTTTGGTTTAACGTTTGTTAATTATGGATTCAACGTTTTTATTTATAGCTTCTAAATTTGGTCCACGTTTAGTAGCAGCTTTTTAATGACAATCTAAACGCACACTAAGTAGTGAATTATTGCTTCCTATATGTTATCCTTTTTCTTCCAAAACTGAATTCACGTGTTGTCAAGCCAACTTTCAACAGTGACCTTTGTGCTTAAGCGTGCAGCTCGTTTGTTACAGAAACCGGTCTGTTGCTACGTTTCGATTTCAGGTATTGGGTGGTAGGATTGCAGGAAAAGGGTTTTGCAAGTTTTCATCATTAATTTGCCTGTTTGTTGCCCCGTTTAAAACTTTGTTCAGTGCAATTGAAACCTTTTTTTATTTTCAGATCGTAAATCATGGTAAATCCGTCCAGTGGCATATACAGACTCTTAGGTGAGGTTTACCTTCTCAGTGCCATTCATTCTTTGCGCTAAAAGGGTACTACAAACCGTTGAACAACTACATTTTACTTTTAAAATAATAAAATAAATAATTAGAAAATCATTCTTAAGCCATAATTTCTATGAGTGATCCGAATCAAAACAAGCCCCAACCGAACCCGCAAAAGAAGTCATGTAGAGCTGGATCGTGTTGGTGTTGGATGAGAAAAACAAGAACGGTCCCAAAGAGTCTGGTGCGGGTTTTAAAATCTATATTTATTAATAGGAATAGTTGTCGTTTTGTTTAATTTGATTTTTAAATACAAAGTATTTTTGACCAAAAAATTAAAATAAAAAGTAATTCAAAATGCTTATAAAAATAATGTGAAGTTTAATTTAGTTCATTTTGGATGTAATATTAAAGTTAGATAAACCAAACTGATCTTTTATGCAAATGCAGTTATTTTTATGGCTATTTGGAACTCGATGGACATTTCATTTTATATATATATATATATATATATATATTTATTTATTTATTTATTTATTTATTTATATTTTTCATGTAATATCTGAAGTTATCTGGCCTTTAGAGGTTTCATCTAGTTGCATGACTTGCAAGAATTATTACGATAAACTTAGCTTCTTGGTTCCCATATAGAATGGGTGAGCTTATGATTAACAATTTTTTAGTGGATTAAGTTTTACAAATCTTGGTGAAGAGATATTAGGAAAACATAATCATTTTATCATTAGAAATTCTGCAAAATGCTACTTGTTAGGCCATTTGACAATATGTTGCGACTTTCAAGTTGCCACCCTTTTGTAATGTTTTTAAAATTGGATTGGTGAGGCATTTAAGTATAAAAGTTCTAATGCTTTTGACGAAATAGATTAATATTTTTTCACGTATAATATAAGAAGTTTTAATTGGTGATACTAATTAATAAGATAATTATAAATATTGTTGAGAAAATAAATTTAAAAAATATTTTTATTATATATCCCATTCACCGTCATACAAGTTTATAGATGTCTTTATAAGTACAACAATATCTAGACATGAAATAGACAAATTCATGCTTAAACATTCATATTTAACTATATCTCATTGTTCAAGTGTTGAGTTACTTCTTTAATGGAAGCAATATCAGCTCCTTCTTTCAATAGACTAGCAACTTCTTCAAATGCAGCAGCATTTTCAATAGCATAACAAATTAAGTTGACGATGACATCAAGATTGTTGTCAAGATAAGGGTAGTTTGACTTCAACAACATGGATAACTTGCTTGTAGTGATTGGCATATGCTTAGCTGAAAATAAAATAAAATAAAATAAACATATTATATAATTAAATTGTTAATATTTAAACAAAAGTTTCTAACTATTGAAAAAAAATATTATTTACCAATTTTAAGAACAAGTTTATTTGGTAGTATATATCCCGTACTCTCATCTTTTAGACGTGCAATAAAGTCACGCCATTCAAATAGAGCCTGAAAGCAATGTAAATAGAACATGAATTATAATAGATCTTGAGAATTGAGAATAGAAAAATTCAAATCGAACGCAGTATAAATATGTAATATGTCAATATGATCTTTTAGTTCTATAAACAATAAATTAAAGAGTCACTTACCGACACAATGGCAAGTTGTTTAGCATTAAAATTAGCCTCTTGCAACCTGTTGCAAAATAGTAATTGAATTTTATTCTACTTTATTTCAAAGATATTATAAGCAAAATAAAATTTACATCATATTTCTCGTATAAAAGAGACAACAAATCAATAAATAAATAAAACAAGAAATAAAAAAAGGTTTAGAAAACTTGCTATTTGTATAAAATACTAAATTAATAAAAAGAATAACACTTGAAAATGTAACATACCCATAAAGATGAAGGTAAGAATTCTCTGTTAGAACTTCTTTCTCGTATAGATGCATGCAAACGTCATAACTTTGCTTGTAGACCTGATAGTTAAGAGAAATTTCGATCATATAATAAAAAAAAAAATTTATTGAATCAATCGTTAATCATGTTATATGCTAATTAATTAGATTGAATAAATACTTAATATGAATAGGGGAAAAGGTCAAACTTGTCTAATCTTGCAAGAATACAAGAATAGAAGTTTAAACAATTAAAATAATTAATATGTATGAAAATAAAATTACCTCCATTAAAGGTGTATCAATGCTTTCAGGCTCTTTAGGCAAGGCAAATAACTCAATTCTCATTAAATCATATATGTATAGCAAATAATGTGTATCTTCTCTGGCATATCTGTTATTAGAAAAGTAATTAAATAGATTGAAGTAATTAGTATGGTTATGACAAAATATTTGGAAGGAAAAATTTAAACCAAACTCAGATAATAAAACAAAACAAATATATAATAATAGTAAAATATGAGCTAAAACAAAGAAAGAATTTAGGAGAGAGCAAATTTGATAAGTTCATGTTACATTTATACCTTAACATCTCATCAGGAATCGGACGTAATCTCCAATCTGCCGTTTGATATCTGTAAGAATTTTAATCATGAAACATTCATAATTTAAGTATTTTTTTTTTAAAAAAAAATCATGCTGGAAAGAACAATAAAAGATTAGACTATGATAGGATAGGCTGGATCCAAAAATTTAAGGAGCAAAAATTTGAAAGCAACATACTCTTTGTTTGCAGTGACTTCGCAATAATGACTTAGAAGATACTCCAAACTCTTTCTTTCCAATTTTAAGATCTTTGAAGCCTAATTAATGCAATAAAATTTATTAGTCTAGATTATAAAAAATAAGAGAATTATAGTAACAATTTTTATCATAGTTTTTCATGTTACCAAATAAACTAATACAATATTGTTATCTTATAGGTAATAAAAGAAATAATCTTAATATTGAAAAGTTAAAAACTTTAAAACAAACCTGATGAGTGTCAAACAAATTACAAATGTAAATGCTAAAGTCTCTTTGAAGCCACTCAACGTCACGATTCGCACCATGCATAACCTAATTGATGATCAATAGGGTCAATTAAACGAAACAAATATGTCAAATTAAATGCAAAGTCAATTATATGAAACTAACCTTCTTTATTGTGGGATCCTTAAAAACATCTCTCAAATAAGCTCCAATATAAATGCGAAGTTTGAAAGTATCAACAATAAAATCTTCTGTCCTTGTTGATATTTGCATTAGACAAGTCAAACCTTGGTAAGACCGGTATTGATTATGTTCCAGATCAACCTAAATAGTGCAAAAAATACATCAGCCAAAAATTAAGTGACATAACAAGTCAAAATAAAAATTATAAATAAAACTTAAAAATTAATGTTTTATTATTACAGCAAATTCATCCACGTGGTGTAACTTAGTAGCTAATTCTTTCAAATCTTTAACCGTGTCGACAAACTTGAAAGAGGTACTTTCTATTGAAGCAGGCTTGATTGGCACAATGTCATTAAGATTTGTGTCAACAAAATTGCAAACTGAGAGGTATTCCTGAAATTATAAAGAAATTAATTAGTACTCAATAATTTATTTCTTTATGATTCTATTTGAAGGCAGGATGTTAAATCAGGCTATCGTCAGTCGAGTAAGCCCTAAAGGATATGCATAGCAAGGCTTCTGTTTTGAGGGGATGATTTTAGCACAGGAAAGAAAGTCATACGGAAGGCGCTAATGGCCCATCTTGTGTGCATCTTAGGAAGAGAAGTAGGCAAAGAAGCTCTTACAGAATAAGCTTCTCTTCTTTCATAAGCAAATGTACTTGTGACATGCTATCTTTCCCCTCTTCATTCCCAGGTACCCAAAAAATGTAATAGTAAGTTTTTATTTTATTCCTCTCATCTTTTTGAAAATTCAACATCCAGTTCTAGAGAACTGCCTACTCGACGCAGAATGTTAAACCATATTTCAACGCAGAATACTTTTACTGTGCAGAATTTTTACGTGTGAATAATTCGTAAACTAAGTTGAAATTAAAAGAAAGAAATAAAGTTACCAGTGGATGAATAAATCGCTTCTCTTGATCACTCCATTCTAACCAAACATGATCAAATTGTTGCTTCATGTTGTTAAGCCTCATTTTATATTCATGTTGAGGTTTCTGAATTGTTGAGACGTGAAAAGGTACTTTTGATTTCATCAAAGTCATTGTGACTGTAAATGGAAGAAATTGTAATTCTCGCACTGCACTTTGCTCTCAGTTCAGCTGAGTGGAAAAATTGTGTGGAATTATTCTTATGAGTCCTCTATTTATAGCTAAAATTGGAGTATAATTCAAGTACACTTTACTGGATAAGATACTTTTAACCGAATTAGATCACTTTTAAATTTTAAATTGTTAAAGAGATACTAATTAAATATAACAAATTACCTGATATAGATAAAATATTTTTGCTAATATAGATCAAATATTTTAACAGAAAGATTTTCTTCACAGCAAATAATTGGTTATGTTTGTGCATTTTGAGTGAAAGTGGAACATAAATAATATCATAGTCTAAATTATAGAGTTATTTTCTGTTTCTGTCAATATTATTCTACCGTTAAACATTGCCAATAACCAATAAATTTGAATGGCAGATGAAATTGAGAGAAAATAAAAAAAAAAGTTTTATTATTTGAATAAATAGATATAGGAGATAAAAGTAAAAATAATTCTTTCTACATGTTTGAATAAATAAAAAGGAAAGTAAAAAGATATACTGTATAAAATATATTTTTATAATAATAAAAAATTTAAATTTAAATAAAAAATAAATTTTGAATATAATACTTTCTGAAAATTTTTCGTTTTTATATTATTTTAAAAAATATATAATATTATAATAGTCTAAATCACAATAATTGTCAATTATTAATTAGTTCCAAATAGACAACAAAAGATTTGATGGAGATTTTTTTATAATAATCAGTTAGTTTATTCTGTTTCTAAGATGTTAAATTTTAAAAATTTTAAAATTTTAAAATAACAGATTTAATTTAAACAATTTGAATGTTAAAAAGGTTAAACGAAGATAATTAATAAAAGAATTAAAATTATACATAAGTTATAGTATAAGTACCAATAAGAAAAATTTTGAAATTAAATTTTGTTTATCCTTTTCCAAAATTAAATGAACCTTTACCATATTAAATAGTTTCTTTTGATTATTTTTAAAACTATATTGTGCTGGATTCATCAACTTGTTGGCTCTTGTATCAAATAAAAATTGAATTTGCTTAAGATAACCACAATGAGAAGCTTAGGCAATTTATTATAGATTTGGATTGTGTAAATATTGTCCATCTCTCCATACATCTTGAGGACTTAGTATTATTGGTTTGAGGATAACAGCTTGGCCAACACGTGTAAGAATACTTGCTGTAAATTTCAACCCGTGAGCCAGAACTGAAAAGGTACATTTCATCAAATCCATTTCTTCCAATTGACACTGAATTTCTTCTACCCTGAGAAAATCATGTCAAGAATTTCAAATAAAATATAATATAGTTTACCTATTCAATGGAACTAAAGTAAAATGAATTTAATTTCTCTATGTGAGGAGTGTGTAAGATCTTGTATGCATGTCAAGTATCATTAATTTCAAGTATTCATGTCAAGTAAAATGAATTTAATTGTTTATCAATTCTACCTCATCAAATATTCTCAACTTGTCTAAGTAAAAATAGTTAGTATTACCAAATATTGCAAGGGCAACAAACCGCTGCTATACATAATAAACAGAGAAATTGTATTCCTACAATTTTCATATACAATAAAGAGCGAGCTAGGAAGAGAAGAGAGTACGTGCTAAAACAGTTGATGTAATGGAGAGAAATAGAGAGAAAAAAGAGTGTTGATGTAGGAATAATATAACTCAAATACATGAGTAACTATAGGAGCACATACGCATAACAAAAGCAGAAGACATATTTTTGACATACAACGTATATTTGCTTGGACTTTTTACAAAGCCTAAGCCTACCAAGTGTACATCAATTCTGCTGTACCATGATGTCTTGTTTTGGCCCATATAAGTCCTTTTTTAGTTTATATACCCTCTCTTCCTGTCCTTGAACAACAAAACTTTCCGGTTGTTCAAGAAAGATTTCATCCTCCAAGTATCCATTCAAGAAGACCGACTTGATGTCAATTTGATGTATGACCCAACCATTTTGTTCTGCAATGTGTTAACAACAACTTTATGGTATCCATTCTAGCCACTGGAGCAAAATTTTAGAAAAATCTATTCCAAATATTTGGACTATCCCTTAACAACAATCCTTGCTTTATGCTTGTTTATAGAATCATCAGGATTATGCTTGGTCTTGTAAACTCACTTAACTCCAATAACTTTCTTATGATTGGGTCTGTCCACCAATTCTCATGTCTGATTTTTTTCTTGAACTCCTCCTTCATTGAATTTATCCATTTTTTATCAGTTGCAAGCTCTTCATATCTAGCAGGTTCCATGATGGCAACATCGCACCTTTGATAGATGCCAGAAAGTGGCCTTGTTCCTTTGACAAGGTTTTGATCTACATTTCCTGAAATTTAATCTTCTTGTCATTTTCCCAACTCCATCTATCTAACTCCAAGAATATGACATCCTTACTAACAATTACTTTGTTTTGGTATGATAAATAGATCTTGTAGGCCTTTGAAATTAAGCTATAGCTCACAAAAATTCCAGGTTCAGTTTTCTTGTCCAGTTTATCTGTCTCAGGAAAATGCAGGAACTTTGTCAGGGATGTTTTCGCAAGATTGTTCTTTATAAAGATTAGAGCACTATGGTGGAAATGGCCTCTTGTGCCAAAGCTCTGTACAACTAACCTCTTTGTGTACTACAACCTGCTCCTTCAAACTAAGGGGTGTTAGTCATTACCCTGTCAATCACTGTGAAACTTCCAAGCGCATCTGTTCAAGGGGTCATTTCCCGCTTAGCTCTTTTGTCGACTATGTGATGAAGCTAAGTAGACTATATTTCTATATGAATTTAGCTTATTATAGAGGTTTATATGGAATTTTTTTTAGTAATTTATCTTAAATTATATGATGATTAAACTAATTTATATATTTTTATCGATTATAGAATCATTGAAAAGAAGTTAAAGCTCAAAAGAAGTCAAGAACAACAAAGGAAGGAAGCTACGAGCAAGAACTTGGGTGTAAAAACGGCGTTTTAATGTTCGGAATTACAAAAATACAATATCAGCGCTTACGCTTGGGCATCAAAACAACCAGGATGGGCGTTTTAACACACATTTTTTGACACTGCATGATGTGCGTAAAACCGCTAGGACTAACATTTTAACACGAGACTTGACTCTAAAATCTGTAAATAGATGTCATAGAGACAAATTTAGAGAGCTCATTTCAGTCAGTTATAGTTAGTGCAATTTCCATTTTTCATTTTCTCTCTTTCTTCTGCACTCTGATAAATCTATATTTTAAGTGTATTTATAAAGTCAATAACGTAGAAAATGATAATAAGACAAATAGAAATGCATAAGAATAGCAACAAATTACTTAATTCTACATAAATTGTAAAAAGAAAATAAAATTTACTCAATTGCAATTTCTTTGACTGAATTGATTCATTTTTGGTGCATTCTCAAGTGTAGATTGAATGATAAGCAAATTGTAAGGAGTTAGAATGGAAAGAAGCAGGAAATAAGCTTGAAGGATAGTTAGAGGCGGTAGAAGGGACACTCATAAGCTTATGACAACACATTCTGACAAGAAAAACCCTCAAAACCTAGCACGAGTCCAGCATACAATTCTTAATGTCTTGACATTTGGTGAACTTCAAAATTATCTAAATTCTTCTAAGAGCCTACTTGTATATCGACTTCTGCAGTTGTATAACAACACATTGAGCTATCAGATGTCTAAAAGTAGCTCAATGTGCAGTAGATTGTTAACGGAGACTTCCATACTTCTATCTCATCTCAGTTTGTCTAAGATTGAAGTGAGAAACCTTAGATTCAAGGATTTAGCTTCAATGGAGGTCATCTTTGTTTGTAGATATTCCTTCTACGCTCATTTTTTTTGTATTTTTGCAATCTATTTCTAATTTCGTAGGTTGGCATAGGATGGATTCCAGATTGGACTTCATTTAATTCTTTTTCTTATGAATCTAATTCAGTTTTTCATGATAAATTGTATAACTTTACTTATGCACTTAATGCTTCTTCGGTTTGGTCAATAGAATACATGAATTTTAAGCATATTTCACAATTGACACATCGGTTTTGTGCGTAGATCTGAAGTAAGTTTCTCTGTTTTCTGATTACCTTGACATAAGACTTAGGATTCAATGTGATTGCTATCAATTTGTGAGCTGAAATGATGCTTCGAGTTAAATCTATTTTTGAAATTAGGTTATCAATAAACTTGGTCATAGTATTTTCGATATTCATAGCTTAGAATTTCATACATGCAATTAGTTGTAATTTTTCTTCTTGAATTTAAAAATTCACATAAAAAATTTAGAAACAACCAGCGCTGGAACTCCAACCTTGGCGTTCTAATGCTCATCTTACAAAGATGAACAAATTTGAAAGTAATTGATGAGGGTTGAAATGTTGGAATCAGTGTCTTAATGCTCAATAACCTTGTTAACAATTACAATGCTAAAATTAGACATCATAATGTCCAATAAACTAAAAATTGAAAATTAGTTAGAAGCACCAGGGCATTAAAAAAAAATAGAAGTAACTAAGCATTGCAACGTGCACAAGTTAATCAAACTTTGGGAACCCTCTATAATGAGAGCATCTTAATGCCAATAATACTTAACATTGAAACACTCGTTGTTGACAACGGAATGTTAAGGTTGTCGAATAGCTCTATAAATTTCTATGAATTCAAAGAATTATGAAAGTAAAAGGAATCTATAGGAAAGAAAGGACTCCAATGCTTATTAACTGAAGAGAGTTTACAGAAAGGTGATTACAATTTTTCAATGAATGACTGAATATTTCCTATACTTGCTTTATATAGCTAACTATTACAACAACCTAACTAAAATACCAGAAATACCCCATATCAATGCCTTCTCCACCAAAAAATCCTTGTCTTCATGGATGGAAATTAGGGAACTTCTTCAAATCATAGTAAAACTCTTAGGTGATTTCTTTTGACAGCTGAGGCTTCCATTTAACCAA